TCTACTTGAAGACTGATCCAATATGTCGAAGTCAGTTTTATACCACTCAATAATAAGATTTTTCCACATCTTTTAGATCCAAACATTAGTTTTTGACATTACTTTTAATTCATCTCACAAAAGTCTAATAGGAGAGAAATCTAGTGATAGGGGAGGCTGTATTATTTTGTTCAATATTTGATTATTCTCTTTTTCAGTTAAATAACTTATACAATGTTTTTTGAGGAATATTTTTTAGATTTAAGCGTTGGTTGTTTTCTTCTAAAAAAAATTAATGGTTTCCCATTAACCCAACTTTTTGAAGATATAGCATGACTTTTTAAAAATGTCAAAATCAAATACTTTTATCATTATTCCCTCAATTTTTAAAATGTCACCTTTGGCATTCCGACTAAAACAGTCCCACACCCTATCACTACATCCACCATATTTTGAAGTCAATAATAAACACTGTTTTATCATACATTCATTTACTTTTCTTTGATAAAAACCTTTTCTTGAAACGAAAGGTTTAAAACTTCAACATGTCGGTCCACATTTCCATTTCATAATGGTCCTTTTTCAGGTAGCTTTTTAATGTACCTTTTTCAGGTAGCCCATTTTAGTATTTTTGTTTTTATGATTTTTATCATAGGATTTTAATCAAAATACTTATTTAATTTAAATTATCTAGTAATGCAAAAATAAACATTAAAAAATTGTTTAATTAAAGTATTTAAAAAAAAAGTGTATACATATATATGCATATTTATATATGTGTGTATATATATATATATATATATATATATATATATATATATATATATATATATATATATATATATATATATATATATATATATATATATATATATATATATATATATATATATATATATATACAGAGGCTATCCTAGGAAACTAATTTGGGCAGTGGTACCCCCTGTCCTGGCGATATTTAGAGGAAATATTGCCAAATGTAGGTGTTTTTTTGCGAAAAAAAATAAAAATATTTGCTGTAAAAAATAAAAAAATATCCTCAATTTTAAATTTGGATATAATTAGAATAGTCCATATATGTATGTATATATTTATATATATATATATATATATATATATATATATATATATATATATATATATATATATATATATATATATACATACAACCCTCTGAATTAGGGTCGGCATTAACTAACTGCTGACCTAGAAGAGGTAATATATAAAGGTAAATTCCCCTTAAAAACACATACCCCCTAAACACTACATCAATAAACTTTCAGCTCTGGGTTCCACTAATGTCAATAAAATTATTAAACAATGATTAAATCAGTATCTCTAAACACCCTAGATGACAAATTAATTAAAATTATACCTCTTACAATTTTAAAATCCACAAAAAGTGAATGCAAATCAATTTTTTTGTTTTTAAAAAGGTGGAACTTATGCATTATGACCCCTACTGTTTAAAATTTTTATTTTAAGTTTGCAATTATCTTATTTCTAAATAATGTTAGACTTGTTCTAATCCATTAATGTAATATAAACTAATTTACAAAATTTTAAAGATGTTTATTATGCATTTTTATCACATTGCTATGGATGTATTTATTGTCTGGAAAGAGGAAAAAAGTTCATCTGGTTTGTTATTTGTAATATCAATGGAGCTGTTGGTTTTATGCTTGGTCTAGGAGCTGTGTGACTCCAGTAGTATCAGGCTGAGACAAAAAATTAAGAACTTAAAGTTTAAAGTTAAAAATTAAGAATTAAAGTCAAACCGTATTCGGTGAGATGTTTATCAAGCGTCTTTATAATAATGAATAGTTTTGTTGTGAACCACTCCCTGTCTTTAAGATGATTAAATTTTTGATTTGACTGACAGCATTTTGTGGTGCCATCTGGTTCGTTTTGCTTTTGCCAACATAAATTCCCTGACACAATGAAACCTCTCCTAACAAATATAAATATCATGCTTCTCTTTTTAGTTGTAAAAATTGACTGACCTGATAATGAAACAAATGGTTCTATAGTTATATTTTCTCTGTTTTCATAAATCATTTTTTTACATCTCTTGTTTGCCAGCATTAACTAACCCAGTGGCAGTACCATCTGCACCGTAGTAGATAAATTGTGGTGTTTCATTATGATTGAACCCTCTTTCTGTTAAAATATCACCGACCTATACACAATTTTTTTATTATTATTATAGTTCTTCATTATACTACAAGCAATCAAATCGTTAGGTAAAGCATCAGGGATAAAAAAAGTTGTAAAATTATCTATAAAATCAAGTTACTTGAATTATCAACGTACATAACAATTTGTTCAACGTACATAACAACTTGTTCAAGAGTAAAAACCAAGTTGTAGAACACTTAAGAATGAAATTGACGATAGATCTTTTTATATTCTGGCTAAGCTAAAAAAAAAAACAGTATGTGATAAAAAATGTGTACCTAGATGATCTCTAGCCAAGTAGGATTTAGGGCTGTGTTCATTTTAACTTGGCCTTGCCTCTTAATGACAATATCATCATGTTCAGTATGCCATCTTCTCCAAAATGATTTCCCAAGTCTAAATAATTTGGATAATAAGGTTTAGTATTTTACATGTATTTAATATATAATGTACCCTTGTACCTATTGGGATTTTGATAAATTAGTGTAAAGAATAAATTTACCTACCTTCTATTTTGTAGGGTTTTTTTTTGCACTTGGTGATTTCCAAAAATCTAAAAGGTCTACCTTTTCCTTTTTTGTTCAAATGATCTCTGATTTTCAGCACATCCAAAATACTTTCAGAAATCTCTTTCTTAGAGAGTCCCTAGTGGGATCTTTTTTTGTTTCTGATAAAACAAAGTTCCTTCTTATCAACTGGATGTAACACTATCAAATGTTCTTTTTTTTTATTCTTGACTTTAACCTTCTATTGTAACACAATCATTTAACCTCTTATTGTAACACAATCTTTAAGAAATGGAAACTTTCCTGTTTTTAATGCTGCCTGTCCTCGTTTTTATATTTTCTGTGCACCAATCTATTGCCTCTGCTATTTGATTTTTTTTAGCTCTTTATGTCCTTTCTGTTAACTGTTGCTTCAGATTGATTTTCTGGCTTTGTCTTTGTTCTACTTCTTTTTCCATCAGCAACAATTTAAATAATTAAAATTAAACTGCGGTTTTCCAAAACTATTTTTTAATTTAAACACTAAAAAAAGGAATATACTTACTTGATTAAAAATTATGAGCACAAAATGAACAGAAAGGTACCAGTTATAACTATTTTACCATTTCATGGTTAAAGAAGATCAGTACAAACCTTCTCTCCATTACTGGCTATTCTAAGCTAGTGGGGGAATATGTTATTATGTTCTTTGTAGTTTTTAAGAGGAATCTTTCAAAAAATCAAAAAATTCACTTACACCAAATATGGCAAAGCAAGGATAATGACTTCCATGAAAGAAAAACCCTATATTAGGTATTTTCAAATCACAAAAAACAAGTTCAAATAGTTGACCTGTAATGTATGTACTATATTTTGAAAATTTGCATAGTTTTTAAGAGAATTCTACCTGTATATATATATATATATATATATATATATATATATATATATATATATATATATATATATATATATATATATATATATATATATATATATATATTCCGAAAATATATATATATATATTTTCGGAATTAGGAAAAATTGAGGTTGGCAATATTTTGCCGACCTCAATCATTAAGAGGTCGGCAAAAATTTTTTGATACAAATGTCTTACCGTAAAACATCGAAATGAGGTAGACAATTTTTTGAACTAAAAGTGTTGAAGTTAGCAAAAAATTGCCGATCTCATTTTGATGTTTTACTGTAAGACCTTTGTATCAAATTTTCGATACAAAATGTGAACATTGAAAATTTGAACATTGCCAAATGCTGACCCTAATTCCGAGGGTTGTGTATATATATACTGTATATATAAATACTGTATGTATATATGTGTATATATATATAAACTGTATATATGTGTATATATATATATAAACTGTATATATATATAAACTGTATATATATATATGTATATGTATATATATATATATATATATATATATATATATATATATATATATGTATATGTATATATATATAAACTGTATATATGTGTATATATATATAAACTGTATGTATGTATATATATATATATATGTATATATATATATATATATACAGTATATATGTTTATATATATATACATACATACATACATACATACAATATATATGTGTGTCTGTGTATATATATAAACTGTATATATGTGTATATATATATAAACTGTATGTATGTATATATATATATATATGTATATATATATATATACAGTATATATGTTTATATATATATACATACATACATACAATATATATGTGTGTCTGTGTATATATATATATATATATATATATATGTATATATACATATATATATATATATATATATATATATATATATATATATATATATACATATATATATATGTATATATATATATATATATATATTATATATATATATATATATATATATATATATATATATATATATATATATATATATATATATATATATATATATATATATATATATATATATATATATATATATATATATATATATATATATATATATAAAATGACTGAAAATTGATACATTAATTGACTGTGTTTTAGATACAATGTGTTTTATAATAATTTCAAAAGGGGTGCTTCAAGGCCCATAAATATTTCACTTGTCTCTAATATTATCAAACTAATTCTAAATTAAGTATTATATAGCAAATGTTTATATCATTTTAAAATTTTTATATAGCTTTGTTTGCACCAATTGTTCAGAGTAAATTTAAAAATAAGGTGTTATTTAAATATTTGCTAAACTTATTTTATAGATTTTAAAAATATTTATATCCAACTTGAGTTAAAGTGGTTTTGAGAAAAGCAAGTATAGCTTTATTTTTTTCTCTTTTTCTAGAAGTATGAAGAAGAAATTATAGCAATGGAGAAACAACGAGGTCAAGAGGTGAAGCTAATAAAGCCTCAGGTAAAAATAATATGTAAATATTTTTTTTTGTGTGTTATTGAACAAATATATATAAAAAAGTAAAGAAATTTGTATTAAAATTTTTGCTCTAAAAAAACGTCAATTTTTCAAAAAATGTTCTATGAATATAAGATTTCTTCTAAACAATGTGTTTTATGTGTGTTGTCCCTCAAAACAATGTGTTTTATGTGTTGTCCCTCAAAACAATGTGTTTTATGTGTGTTGTCCCTCAAAACAATGTGTTTTATGTGTGTTGTCCCTCAAAACAATGTGTTTTATGTGTGTTGTCCCTCAAAACAATGTGTTTTATGTGTGTTGTCCCTCAAAACAATGTGTTCTATGACTCATTCAATGTTGGTGTTTATTGTCATGTACGGTGTTTCATGTCAATTTAATAAATAATTCTCTGTATATAAATTAATGGCAAACTTTAGCATTTAAAAAAATTTTTTTTTCAAAGAAAAGATATTTTCACTTAAACATTTTCATAAAACTAAAATCTTCCTTTTTTCAGTTTACTACTTCAGGATATTAAGTTCATCAACAATGTATTTTAGGATGTGTTGAAAATTAAATATAGTATTTTTTAGAGGCAAAATAAATATCAATATGAAAGTCTATTGAGTCAAGGAAATTCTTAAGCAAAATATTTACCAATCTAACCTAGAGGTCGATTGATCTGACTGGAAATATTACACTACAAAAATAGTTTTAGATATCAAAGTTAAGTTTTTAGGTGTGTGAAATTTTTTACCTGGATTTTCAGGAATAAAGTCACCATTTTGAATAAATTATTAAATTTTTTCTTAACGACTTTTTGAATTAACATATGCTGAAGATTCCACCTTTTTTTAGTCTTGTAAAACTAGGATTTATTTTTGGTGACATTATCGATTTTAAAATCAGCAATAATCTAATAGCATGTAATAACACACTAACAGAATGGTGCAATATGTGAAAAAGCCAAATTATCTATAAATATTGCAGGCCTTGTTTTAAAGCATTACGCATAGAGCGATTTATGTACGCCATAAGCAGTTTTACGTAAACAGTAAGCAATTTTGATTAAGCAATTTTTACCATTTTTTTAACTTTTAAATTATTCTATAAACGGTAAGATAAAAGAAGTAGTTAATTTTAAAAAGTCGCATTTACTTTTGAATGACATTTATGTAAAATATTTGTTACAAAAGTTTAAATGACAATTATGTTTGATATAAGCACTATTTACTAATGAAAAAAACTCAAATAAAATTAAAAGTTTATTTTTATTTTGTTTTTATTTTATTGTATTGATTGATTTTTTAAGCTTGAAGAAAAGATCATAAAAACATAATTTAATTCTGATAAAAAATATATGATTTAATTTGGGTTTAAGTTTTTTTTTTTATAACAAGAGTTAAATCACAGCGATTATTTTTTAATAAATGATATATAGCGATATAATTTTGATATTAAGATAATAAACTAATAAACTTTTAATAAAGAAAGTATGTAAATTAACATAATTTTCTTAAGATAAAAAATCATTTGAAGTTGCAAAGCTGCAATTACAAATTTAAGAAATAATCATTTTAAAAATTCAAAAATTTAATATATTTTAATTCATTTATGCAAATGTTGAGAAAAGGAAGAAATTTGTTAATATCAAACATTTTTAAAAATGCAATATTAAATTTAATTATTTAATATTTAAAAAAGATAAAAGAAAGTAAACATTCCTATATAATAATAATAAAAAACTCATTAAATAACATTCAACTCATTTTGCGGTAATTAATATTATTGCAGTAATTTAAAAAATAAAAAGATAAAGAGAATTTTATGACGTCAAATAAGAAATTGTGTTAAGCTAATACATTAAGCATTTTTTATTTAAAACAAGGCCAGTTCTACTATATGGTGCATAGTTTATCTATACACATATACTTTACTATGCAAAACCAATAGTTAATGTCGTTATGCGGGTGAGTGTTCAGAAAATATTTTTATGGTTTTTTTAAGTATGAATTGGATTATCATAAATCTCTGCTAAAGATAATATTATTTCAGGTTGTTTTTTTATCATCTTGGGCAGATGTTAACTGCAACCTGATGTTAACCACCAACCATTTAAAAAGCCTCTTAAGCAAAGACTTTTGGGATAAGCAGAATAACTCTGTTGACCATCCTCATACCCTTTCTTTATATATTAGGCTGGTGTAGATTTAAACCTTTGTAACATTATTGATTACTTTAATGCTTATCACACTGAATGGTTTAGTTCCATTCCCAGTCTTGTTGGAAGTGAAATAGTTTGAAAAAAAAATAGAGACCAAGTAGAGTAGATAGAGAGCAGTAGAGGTTATAATGCTATTATCTAATGAAATGAGATTAAGTTCAGTGACTTTTCTAATGCAATTATTTTACCAACTCTTTCTGGAAAATGATGATTATTATTGAGAAGATTAAAATTAATTTCAAGTTAAATCACTATCATTGTTTTGTTTTGCAGATATATGGGCATAGTTGTCACTTGTGTTTGGATTTCCCATAAATCTAATTTTCCATTTTTCTTTTTACTCTTTTTTAACTTTGGATTTCTCTCAAAGCTACTGTCTCTAAATAAGTCCCAGTTGTCTTGATTTTTTTGTTTAATATGTTTGCACCTTCTCTAACCTTCTCTATCCGTCTGCACCTTAACCTTCTCTAACCTTCTCTAATCGTCTGCACCTTAACCTTCTCTAACCTTCTCTAACCTTCTCTAACCGTCTGCACCTCAACCTTCTCTAACCTTCTCTAGCTGTCTGCACCTTAACCTTCTCTAAACTTCTCTAACCGTTTGCACCTTAAGCTTCTCAAAGGCAATCACTCTCCATCAACTTATTTTAATAATTTCAACCTCTGTTTTAGGTCCTAACTTGTTGCCCCTTCAAACATGTGTACAATGTACAGAAAAATGTGTTCTAGATTACACATTGTTGAAGGAAGCAAAAAATTGGTTTTTAAATACTTCAATTTTTCGCAGGTAAAATGCTAACACTTTTCACAAATAAAGGCCTTTGTCAAAAGTGGCCATGTCATAAGTGAGTCTTAAAGTACAGCCAGCTCTTACTTACCTGATCATTACTTTTTGTGATTACTTTAGTCTAATCAATTTATGTTAAAATTAAATTTTAACTTTTTTTTTATAGTCTGGTTTTGTTGTAAAAACTGTTTGCCTAAAAGACAATCTAAAGACTTTTATAAACATTTGCACTAGCCCTGAAGTTGGTGAATACTCGTCTGAAAAAGGAGTTCAAAATGGTTTATCTGGTTTGCATGTTAAACTACCCCATAGCCTTGTTCCGTGTAGAAAGGATTATGATAAAGGTTTGAATTAATGTAATAATAAATAGCTGTAAAATGTTACTGAAATATTATAATCATTGATATGATTGTCATATCATAATCATCATCTGTTGCAGTTATTATAATTATTATTATCAGGGATGCAGAGTCCCAAAAAGGACTCCGGATTCGAAAGTCAAAGTCCGGATTCAAAAAAATTACTTCATCCTAGTTTTTGGTATCCAGGAGCTCTAAAAATATAAATAAGTTTATGGAATACTAATAGGAAAAAAATAAAGACTTTCAAGTTAGATGAACAATCATTTTTTGAACCCAGAGTCCTTGGCGACAAGGACTCCAGGGCTCCAGAACTGTGGGCTTAAAAACAATAAGTTTCAAGTCATCAAATTTTTTTCTTATAGTAAATCATAAATCAACAAACATGTTTAGAGCTTCTGGACACTACAGACTTGGAAAAAATAGAGATATAAAGTCAGAGTCCTTTGGGAACTCCGCATCCCTGATTATTATTATAAACATTCTAATAATCATGTATGATAAAAAATTGTATCATCATATAATAATAATTTCATTTAGGATTTTGTTTTATGTTATTTGTTTTATCAACGAAAAACCAAAATATTAGGGTTTGATTTAATTTTTTTAACACCTAACTTTAATTCTGTTAAGCGAAACTTTGTTTTAATTAAATGCAATAAGTCATTTTCAAAATTTTCCACCCCAATTTCTCAAACAAACCCCAATTTTAATTAATAACAGACTGAACCAAAACTCCTCTAATTAAAATGTATTCAATTCCTTTAAACAAATTTTTCAAGATGTCCTTAGAAAAAGTGGTTTTCAAAATTTGGAACTAAAATTTGACCCTGAAAAAAAGAATACAAAAAAGTTAAATAGAACTATAAATGTAATTTGGTTCAATTCCCCTGCCCCCCCTCCCCTCATATAACAAAAATGTTTCCACTAACATAGGAAAAGTGTTTTCAAAATTGGTTGATAAGCATTTTCCGCCCTCTAAGAAATTACATTAAATTTTAATTTGAAATGCAATTAAAATTAGCTAAAGTTGCAAAAAAAATTTGGAAAGAATCATAAAAGGTCACAATAATGTTTTGCTAAACAAAAAATCCTAAATGAAAAACAACAGAAAATTGTAATTGTAAACAAAAAAACAATTATTCAATGAGTAGAAATTGTTTATCAAAAAGCGTTATATATAAATGTTTCCTCTAAGAATGTACCTGATAAACAATATTTTGGCTTAACAGAAGGTGAATGAAAATTTTTTTTGCTAATCATAAGCAATCCTTTAACAATAAAAAGTATTTAAAAGACACCATGCTGTCCAAATACATATGGGAATTAAAAGATAAAAACAATGATTTTATACTGAATTGGTCCATCCTTAAAACAGCACCTGCATATAACAACATTTCCAAAAAATACATACTATGCCTACAAGTAAATGAAATTTTGAAATACTTACACAAGAATGTTTATCAAACAAAAAATCAGAATTGATTTCTAAATTCAGGCACGAAAACAAGTTTCTCCTAAAAAGCTATAAAAATAGGTGAGCTTGAATAATAATTACATTCAATCCTTTGAAAAAAAACAAAAAAAACAACAGAAGTAATCAATTCTAAATAATTTTTTTTATAATGGTATCAAATAATTTTTGAGGTCGGCAAAAAATTTTTGATACAATTGTCTAACCATAAAACATAGAAACAAGGTCAGCAATTTTTTGCCAACCTAAAACACTTTCAGGTCGGCAGTTAAGTCGGCATTGCTAAATGCCGACCCTAATTCTAAGGGTTGATATATATATATATATATATATATATATATATATATATATATATATATATATATATATATATATATATATATATATATATATATATATATATATATATATATTTGTGTCTTTTAGATGGAAAACAGTGCATTGTGTATGATGTGTGCTTCAATCCTAAGTCTTATGAACGAGCTCTTCATGTAAGTTTTATAAAAATATAGTTGTTATAACATTAGTTTTCAACTATATTTAAAGTAGCTTGATTTTCTTAAATATGTACATACAAAATTTACATATTTAAGATATTAATCATGTCTAATTTTTCTAGTCATTTTATTATTATTTCATATTTTCATATTTTAATCTCATCAATTTTTTATATTGGTTTGTCCTTTTTTTGTCGATTGCCATACTAAAATTTTATAATTGTTTGTAAATAATGAACTATTAAATTATAAAAAAAGACTTCAATTTTTTTATTTAAAACTATTTTTTTAATTTAAAACAAACTATTTTCATCCATATTTGTTGTTTATGGATAAAAAAAGTAGCATGAGCTCTTTCTTAAGTTCTATCTCTGGCTCCACAGAGAGCTCATATTATGGCTAGTCTTTTCTGTGATAGTGTGCTTTAGTGTCAAGAATGTCCAAGAAGTAAAGAAAGAAAAAAAGTTTTGTGAAACTGCCATGAAGACATATGAGGAATAACACTATTTTAAAATCTCTGATGAGCTTCTATCTGTAGTTGTCATACCTTAAGGCTCTCACCAACGTTTTGACAGAGATGTAAGTCCTCTTTGAAATGCACATGAATAAACCATTGGATTGAGCAAGTCATTGTTTTTGTTATAAAGCAGTCAAGTTTCAAGGCCTAAGATGAACTGTCTATAAATAGGTACCATTTAACTGGATTACATGTAATGCAATAGTCTTAAAAAGACCAGCAACATTATTGCTAAAGCACAGCCTATCTTTTTAACTGAAGAAGTTGGAAAATGTTTGAAAATTTTTCTAATCTGTAACCTGCACATTTTTATCCATCAAACTCTACAGTTAGCATCATTTTCTTCATTTAAAAATTAGTTCTGGTAACATTAAAATCTGAAAAGTTTTTATTAAAAATTAGAACAACATTTCACCATGATGTTTAATGAAATATTTTGCAAAAAACATGATGAACTCTAAGCTTTGTTTTAATTTTCTCATGCACATTTTTCATTTTTATTATTCAGAGAATATTTTTATATCCTTCATTAAATGTTTACATATATACTGCTATCATTTTTAAGGTTTTTGTGCAACGTTCTTTTTCGCTATCATATATTTTTCAATTATTGTTATGATTTTGGGTTTCGCGGGCTGCTCATTTTCCTACACTTTTGATTGGTTGTCATATTTTGAATGAGGTTTCTATGACAGCGTTAGAGTTAGAACTCTAACAGTGTGTGTTAGCAATATTGGTGAACTTTACGATAACAAGAACAGTGTTGTTTCCATTGTAATTTTATGTTGTTTGCTTTATAACAGCTTTTAAGAATTCCATACAATTCCTAAAACTGATTTGTTAAAAACATTGAAACCTTGACTCTTATTTAGTTTTTTTGTTTGTTTCTTGTGTGAGTTTCTTATAATAATAATTTTTTTTACAAACTATTGTGTTTTTATTATGTTTAAAGGAGGAAAATTAAAAGTTTCTTGGAATGATACTTGAAACTCCCTAAAAAATAATTTTTTTAGTTTTTGACAACCTGAATCATTTACCTTCTCTACTCGATTTATGTCTTGTTTCTGATCCTAGTTAGTGCTCAATTTCTCTACATTCACCCCAAGGTGCTTCTGATCAAAGTTTGATCTCTCTAAAACAGATGTCTGTTTATTATTGCTAGAAACCATTGTAAAAAGTTTTTATCAAAGGCCAAAGCCCGCTATTCTCAGGTCACAAAATCTCGTACTTCTCAAAAGTTAGTCTCCAGTGACTTCTGGAGAATCTTGTTTACAATATAAACAGTGTTTATAATAAGGGCAGATCTGTTATTCTACCTACAACATCCTACCTGATGTATCCAACAAACAGGTTGATCCATTTCTTGACATTTATATCACCCCAGCTTCTGTATCTAAAGTGGTTTCCTCCTTAGAGTTGTTTTCGATGGACAATAGTCTTCTTCATTTCCTCTAACTTGAAGGATTCCTCAAAGTTCTCTCCTTGGCCCTATACTTTTTTAAATTTACATTAACAATCCATCAGAAATTCTCACTTCTGAGGCAGCATTGTTCACTGATGATACTACCATTTATTCTTATCTTGATAAAAAGCCAACATTCTCTGATTGCTTGGGGGGGGGGGGGATTTGAGCTTGAAAAAGATCTCACTTCTGCTACAGCATTGGGCTCTCAGTGGCTGGTGAACCTTAATTCAGATAAAACTCAATTTTTTTCAGCTAATTATTATCCCAACAATCTTGATCTTTCTATATTTATGAACAGTAACGTACTCAATGAATTATCTACCCTTTGTCTTTTAGGAATAACTTTTACTTTGATCTTTCTTGGAAATCATATATCAAATCCATTGCAAAATTAGCAGGATGCTGAATAAACAAGAATTTCATAAGTGTGAACTGGTATAAGTGCAAAGCGTTGCAAAAACTGGATTATTGCAAACTGGCATATGTGCAAATTACATAAGTGTGCCATAACAATTTGCAAATATTTGCATAAGTGCAAATTGGCATTAGTGCGTCAAATAAAATTTTAAATATTAGTGTATATTGGCATTTTGCACTTATTCCAATGTTTGCAAATTTATTCGGCGCACTTATGTTAGTTTTTGCAACTGCTTTGGAATTATTCCAATTTGCACTTATGCCTATGCTTGCAAATTCTTTTGATGCACTTATGAAGTTTGTGTTTATTCAGTTGTCCCTAAAGTTATAATCTGCTAAGATTACATATCTTTATCATGCCTGCCTCTTTCTTACTCCAGATTCTATTCTTTATCTCTATAAATCTCTAATTTGTCCTTCTATGAAATACTTTTGTCATATCTGGAGCAGATCTTCGATCAATGCCCTTCCTCTTTTAGACAAGATGCAAAAAAAGCATTGTAAACATAATTGGACCTACTCTTGCAGCCAACCTTCAACCATTGTGACATTGTGGTAATGTTGCTTTTTTTTTCTATTTTCTATAAATACTGTAATGGACATTGCTCTAAAGAGCTAGAATCTCTTACGCCATCTACTAAATTTTATTCTTGTGTTCTTGTGTTCTTGTTCATCTACTAAATTTTATTCTTGTGTTCTTGTGTTACTCAAATCATTCAATTAATTCTCATCCTTTTACTGCAACTGTTCCTAAGTACTCCAAAAATTCTTATTTGTCTAGTTTTTTTCCTCAGACCTTAATTCTTTGGAATTTGCTCCCTTCATCCTGTTTTCTTGATTCATATAATTTGCAGGTTTTTAAGTTGTCTGTTAATCGTTATCTTTATTAACTTATCTCTTCCAGTAACTTCCAACTCTAACAATGGTTGCTTGCACCTTTGTTGGAAGTGAATATGTTCAAAAAAATAAAAAGTAAAAAAAATAAATTTTTACATGGGTTTACGAATGCAAATAATTTTAAGCCAGCCTTAAGGTTAGAAAGTTAGGAAAAATTAAATATTTTAAAATTAAATGAATAAATTTTTTGCTCCACTAGCTCAACCTTAAATTTGATTTATTTTGAATTTGAAGATTTTTTAATGATTTCAAAGTTATCCAATTGAAAAAAGGCAATTTCTTGATGATTGGTGGCAGGATTTTAACTATTTTCAAGAATGTCTTATAAAAATTAACAAAATCAAAAAAATCATTATCTCTTGATTCTGATCTAATTGCATATGGCATTTATATAGGTATGTATATAGAGATAATTAGTAAAATCAACTGGATTTTTCAAAAAGACAACACAGTATACATAAATACATATATATAAATATAGGGGAAGACAGGTGAAAATGACAAATGTTATTAAAATCCTTAATTAATGCAAAACTGTTAGTAATGAAACAATATTTTGTCGGGTTTTTTTTTTTTTTTTTTTCAATAATATCTTCCATTACCTGCATGAGTTTTCAGTTTGTAAGTGGAAAAGTTTGTAATAAAAATTAAAATATAAAATTCATAAATTTGTTATCTGCTAATGTGATCAGGGCAAAATCTAGTACTATGTCTTTTACATTTCCAGCTTTATCAAATTTCACAAACTGCAAACTTATTTACCTAAAGATAAAAGCTACAGTGACTAAGGGTTGATTGACAGCGATCTTTTATTTATTCTACTTTTCCATAGTATTAAGTTAGTTAATTATTTAATTGGTTGTAAGTTATTGTATTAGTTTTTAAATTCATAAACTGTTTTTGAAACCATTAAATCATTATGTAGCATGTCTAATGTGGCATGTTAAATAATTGTTGTTAAATAATTCTTCTTTTTTCAAATCTTAAAAATCTTAAATCTTAAAGAATTTTAAAGAAATTAAAGACTTAATCTTCATATTATTTGTGCTTAACACCTGGTACAAGTTTTGTTCCTCTTTTTTGAACTTTAGATTTTTATAAACTTTTTATATTTTCTATTTGATTGGTGTTTTTATTTTTAAGTAGTTAATTATTCCTACTTGATTGGTGTTTTTATTTTTAAGTAGTTAATTATTTCTATTTGATTGGTGTTTTTATTATTAAGTAGTTAGTGCAGGTAGGTGCTGTTGAATGCTGTGTTTAGATATGAATAGTCATCTTTTCATACATTTTAATTTTTTTTTTTTTTTTTTTTTTTTTTTGTATAGTATGTGAGTCTTTTATATAAAGATCCCAGGTGAGAGTTGAATGGAAGCAGTTTTTTAGGATAGAGGTATTGGATCACTTATGTTAACTGTGTCGTGTCTTATTTGGGTCATTTTTTTTTAATATATTTTTTTTCAACATCTTTGCTTCCAACAAGGCTGCAAGCAACCACTATTAGAGTTCAAAGTTACTGAAAAGAATGAAGTTTATAGAACAATTACGAGATCAATGGTGTTGTTACTAAGAGTTTTAACACTGATTGTTATTTGAAGTGTTTACTTGGTAATTTGAGTAGATGCAACTAATAAGCTGATTGTTATTGAGTAGATACAACTAATAAACTTTCTGCTTTAAGTTTAATTTAATGCTAGATAGATTCGATTGTAGAGTTAACCAATTGTTTGAAAATTATTTCTAGTGATGAAATAATTTTTCTTGTGTAAATCTCTACATCTCCACCCTTTTTACTGATTCACTTTTTATTGTAATGAGTGTAGTAAGGTAAGAAAATAATAATCTTTTTGCCAAACCAGGTATGTTGTCTTTTTGGTTCAATTATACAGATGTTGTCTTTTTGGTTTTCTTTAGCCAGTATCAGTTCTTTCTATTTGTTGTAAAGTTGCATTGGAATAGAAGTATTTTTAATTTTTTTTTTTTATTAGCATCTGAATTCCTGAATTGATTTACAACACAGTTTTGATTTCAAACCATTTAAGTTCACCTAAACAGATTTCCCAATAATTTTTTTTTTTGCTGTTGTGTTCATTGTAATGTTTTCTCCTTGTAATGTTGCTTGTTGTAACATTGACCAGAAAAAATGCTTCATGAAAATCAAAATTTTAAATGATTATAAATTTGCTAGATTAATTTGCTACTAGTTAACTTTTACAATTTATAATTTAGTTCCAGCAATTTTATTTAGTGAAAGCAGTTTTTTTGGTGTTTTTTCAAATTAATTTTCAAATAGTAGTTCATTTTTAGTTTTGTCTTTGTAAAAACATTTTTTAAATTGTAAGTTTTTTTTCTTTTTTTAATTTATTAGTTACTAATTTTTGAGTATTTATGTTGTTTGATTTGATAAAAATTAGATCTGGTCATTTTTGTGTTTTTTTTTTTAGTTAGAAGTATTATTCTTGTTGTATTTTTTAATAAAAGGTTGACACTGATTGCTTTTAGCATTTTTTCGTTGCTTTGTTCATTGTTTTCTATGATTGTATTTTTGTCTTCAAACTGTTGTTGTTAAATTTAGATTTTAGACATCACTACAACTTCTGTTTCTTTTGATTTTGGCATACTTTGTTTTGTTGCTTGTGCAAATTAAAATATTGTTGCTTTGTTTGCATTAGAAATCATTACTCATTCATCTTCTAACAATATTGTTTGTTTTAGGAGTCTTAAAATAGTTAACAATATTTGTCCACACCATCTGTGAATATTTTTAGTAACATCAGCAGTCATATCAGGAATTGCTGGCTAATTTGCCTTTTTCTAAACATCTATAATCTATTTCTAATATTATTATACTTTTTTTTTTTTTTTTTTTTGCAACAGCTCTTAAGTTGTTCTTGTGTTTTAAATTAAAGGACAACTTAATGCAAAAACTATCAAAATTTTTAAAATAATCCAAGAAACTAATTAAATTTAACTGTTTTTTAAATAATTACAATAAGGCAACTTTATTGACTAAATTTTTTTGTTAATTTTAATTCAAAATTTTATTTTATTGTTTTTTTCTTTTTCTTTTATTAACTGGTTTATTCAGATATTGGCGCAACAATTGTAATTAAGAGTGATTATAAGTAAATTTAAGTTAATTATCTAATTAATTTTTTTTTTGCTTTAGATTAAAATTAATAAGTTAAAATTCTTTCAATTTTCAATTTCACAACACAACTTTTTTTAACTTTAAAATTTTTTTTATTTTATAAAATATCTTCACGTCAATATCTGAATAAATCAGTCTTACATAATGTTAAGTAACTTGTTCCACATTAAGTAATGATTATGTATAAAATAGATAAAATAAAGTGTTAAAAAAATAAAGTGGTATTAAAACTATATTTAAAAAATTTTATTTATAGGATGAAGCTTTTCGTTCAATTTTAATTGACACTTCGTTTGATGCTATAGAAAAACAAGCTGGCATTAGTTTTGACAGAAAGAGTGTGTTTTTTAAATATTAAAATTATTATACTTTGCTATTATTTCTTTTTTTACTATTAGAAGGTATTTGGTTAAAAATGCTTTTGATTTCAATAAAATGTTAGTGCATTAAGTATTTATATAGTTTTTATGATGAACCCTCTAATTAAGATTTATAATGGTAAAATTTTAATAGATGCAGCACTCAACATGTGTGGTGCTGCTCACAGGTACATGTGTGATGAACACAAGATGTATGATGCACATAAGAACTGTTTTATGCTACAGTTCGCAAGAGTTTTGTTGCAGTAACAAAATAAATTTTCTAATTTATTGATTTTCTGCATATTAACACAATTGAGGTAGCTACTAATAGATGATTGGAAAAAAAAATAGACTATTATTAAATTGATTGTATTTATTTTATATGCAAATTGCAAAATGAATTAATATTTGTACCTTTTTTTGTTGTTTTGTGTTTTCAAATTTTTTTTTTTAAAAAGTCAAATAAAATGAAAACAGTATCAAACATTGAGTAATAAGTTTGTTCTTTGATGGTGGCTAATGGTTACAAAATGGTGGCTAGACTTATGGTGGCTAGACTAATGGTTACAAAACAATTGTCATATGTACATTCTGATCATTGACAATTCATTTTAATATGATGTTTTACTATATCTTTAAAATCTTTCAAAGCAGTGTATGACAATATATAAAATAATAATAATTTATAGGAAAGTATGGATATTATTGCAATGTTACTGTAGCATATTTTTTTAACTAGAATAGTTTTTATTTTAGTTTATATATTTATTGCATATATAATATAAAAGCAACCTGCATTTTTATTTAAACAGCAAGTATATTTAAATTTTAACAAAAATCCCCACAATTACTCTCTTAATTTTTTCATTATTTGCAATTATGTTTTTAGTTCCAAATAAAAAGATGAAGTCATGTTATAAAAGTAAAAAATTATTTAAAAACTTTGGCATATAAAATTCGCCGAATGGTCACACACGATGAAGTCATGTTATAAAAGTAAAAAATGCTTTCAATAAAAATGCTCAACTCATACATAAAATTACAGTTTAAATAAAAAAATAAAGTATAAACAAAAATATACAGGAGTGCGCGTGTTATTTCAGAAAAAATAACTATTTAAATTTTGTGCTCAAAATGTCTGCAAATTTCTAAATAAATTTGGCGGGAAAATCAATAACGGCTTAACTGGTTAATAATAAAAATACATTGGCGGTTTTTATAAATTAATAAAAAAAATGGGCTGAATTAGTTGCCTTAAAAAAGAAAAAGTAAGAAAACTTGTTTTTTCACTCTGGAAGGCAGGAAGCAAAATTTGCTAAGCAGTAAAAGGACAGCTTCATAATTCAAATGTTGACCGGTTTATCAAAGATCTAGAAAGATAGAAATGGTAAACTGAAGCAGACAGACCCAAGAAGATTTGTAAGAACTAAAGAACTTCAAAATTCTGTTGACTGCAAAGTGCAACAAAATCCAAATCGATGAATATCTAGCTTAGGTAGAGAGGCTTGTATGTTAAGTAGAACACTGCAACGAGTCATCCATGAAGATTAAGGTATGAAGAGCTTTGTAAAGTCAAATAGGCAACTTTTGAGTGAGGCTACAAAAGCTTTTGTAGAATGGTTTAAAACCCACTCAAGTGTTTCAGTTATCTACAGGGACGAAAAAATATTAATAATCAAGTCTGAGCCCAACAGATACAATGATAGAGTTCTTGGGAAGTCTAGTATAACAGTTCCTTCAGAAGTTTGAACTATATCAAGAAGACAGCACCCTATAGAGTGATGTTATGGGGTGGAGTTTGTTCAGCTTCAAAACTCCGCTTGTCTTTGTTCCCAAAGGTGTCAAGGTGAACCAAACAACTTATGTTGGCGCTATAAAAGCTAACTTGCTGCCTTGGGCCAAGAAGAAGCTCAGTAATAATCCATCGGCGTTTATGTAAGATTCTGCACCTGCTCACAGTGCTAAGAAAACCGTGGCCTTCCTCCAAGAGAATGCTCCACACTTGTGGTGGCTGGACATGTAGCCTCCTTCTAGCCCAGATATGAACCTTTTGGAGTTTGCCATTTAGGGCTTCATGAAGTCGTAGAAGATAGGGTGGGATATATTTTTTTAATTCATTGTCACTACTACATAAAGTTGCTATATTATGGAAATAAGGAAACAATGAAAATTCGAGCTTACTTCAACATCTTAGGGGGGGAACTTTTGTGTAAACTTTTTAAATAACGTTTTTCTACATAGTTCGAATCCACTGTTTATTCATATGGAATATTTCAAATTTTATTTAATTAACTATACCCATATTTGACATTGCCTCTATTTCTAGTTTCATTTTTACTTTATCACTCACTGTTCTATTATTTAAGATTAATGAATTATAATCGTATGTGTTAGATGTTAGATGTGTTAGATGTTAGATTAAAGAAGCATGTTAAAATTCACTCATTTTTTTATGATTACTTTTAAGGGTTATTTTGATGATTATTGTAGTTAAAGAATTTTTTTTTTTTTTTAATTCACCTCCTCAAGGCCGAGAAGGCCACTACAGACGAGGAGGCTACTTATTAGTGGTTATAACCCTCTCTCAACTCTATAACTCCGAAACACGAACCTTGACGAACAAGGCCGCTGAGCGGAGAAACAAGTTGAGTGCGGTACTACCAGGGACGTGGTGGGGATCGAACTCGGAACCACTCGTTTATGAAGCGAGCGCTCTACCACTACACCACTACCGCATATAATTGTCATGGGAGTTTTAATTGGTATATATATACAAGATTTTATGTAATAAACGTGGTAGAATTAATAACTATCAGATAGTTGTTTTTCAAACATGAAACATGCTAAGCTTCATCATCGACAATAACTCTTTCCTGCGAGTGTGATAAAGAAAGCAGTTGTTGTGATGATAATGAGGAATATGATGAAGCTACTGATTCAGAAGACAGCTCACATAGTGGTCATGATCCCAAATATCGCAATATATTTCAGTACAAAGAACTCTGTCAAATTATGGAATAAATGGGAGTTAGCAACCAAGATGCATGCAAAATTGAAGAACATGCAGAACTAGCCACAGGAATCATTGGAATCAGTTTTGATGGCCGTATAGACTAAACCCTAAGGTTAGTAGAACAAGACAATGGTAAAGATAGCAGGGCCACTTCCATCAAAGAAGATCATTACGTTGTCTGCTCATATCCTAACAGCATCTACTTAGATCACATTTGTCCACAAAGTCGTAAAGCAGTTGATGTTGTGAAATAAATTATTTCAGTTTTAAATGACAAAAATTTTCTTGTGACTTTACAAAGTGTTGTTTGTGATTGAACCAATGTAAACACGGGCTGGAAAAATGGTATCATTTGTTTGCCTGAAACTCATATTAGCAAACCTCTTTAATAGTGTATTTATTTGCTTCATTTGAAGCAAATGAATACACCTCTTTAATGGTGTATTCATTTGCTTCATTTGAAGAATTTTCACTGAACTTGATGGCAGTACATCTGGTCCTACTGTATTCAAAGGCATTCTTGGTGAACAACTATCTTTTGATGTTCATTTTCTATTGATAGTTGACTTAGTCAGTGCTCATTAAAATGTCTGATGATGTCAATCACAATCTTAGTAAAGATTAGAAATACTTAAAGCACGCAATGCTGTTATCTGAGGATTCCAAAATTTGAATGTAGAAATGAAGAAGTATTTCACAAATACTCCTCCCGAAAATATCAATCATGCCAAGTGGCTCACATTTGCCAATTGCCTGCTTCGTTTATACATGTCGACCATAAAACCCACAATAAGTCTGATAAATATTGTTGATTACATCATCAAAGTTTACTGTTTCTTTGGCTTTTAATCAAGAAATATTGGAGATGTGTTGAGGGAGCACAAAATTTTTTCATATTTATGAAATGTATTTATAGTCTTAATCATCGTGATAGCAATTGCCCAGAAGTATTGCAAAGAAACTGTTATTTCGCTCATCCTGAAAGTGTTTTGTTGTCAGCCATCAAAGTACTCTTCAAGTTCCTAATATTCCATGCCATTCTCAAAATGTTGAACGTCTGTTCAAAGAAGTATCTAGAGTATTCAATATCGTCACAACCTATGAAAAACGTCATGGAATGCTTGTTTCCACTTCAATCTCGAAACTTAAATATCAAAAATTCAATAGTAAAAAGGACTTTATATAAGGATTTTGCATTTTCACATTCTTTTTTAGTATAAAAATGTAACTTTTATTATTTACATGGTGTTTTTACTTTTTTTCAGGTGATATGTAAGCAAATAACAGTGATCTCATACTCATATAATGTAAGCAAAAGTTGCTCCCTTTAAACTAAATTCAAAAAGGCTAATATTTTTCAACTGGTGGTGTAGCAACTTTTCCCACTAGTAATGATGCAAAAATCAGAAAAATTAAAAATATGACCCACCCTAATAGAAGGCCCTCAAAATATATCCAAATTTGGCAGTTCTCAAAGCAGATGTAGCAAAGGTATGGAAGAATCTGTGTCTAGACATGGTGCGATGCAGTGCCTGTGCATCTGAAAAGTGTAGTAGTGTACAAAGAAGACTATATTAAACAACATTAAAATTTTTATGTAGATTAATATTTTATTTTTCTGTGATCAAATTTTCAGTGATGTAATACAAATGGTTTTTGACATATTCAAGTTTATTTTTTTCTGAAATAACCTGTGCATCCCTGTACACATTAAAATAATAGTAATAATGATTTTATAAAAATAGAAAAATATTGAAAAACTAGCTTCATCATCTTTACATGCTGCTTTTGTATAATTTTTTTAGTGTTTTTTTTTTTTGTTTTTTTTTTGTAATATAGATATTATGTCAGTTATTATTTGTCAGTTTTCATAACAGCTGTTTGTCAATGGTAAACATTTTTCTCACGTTTTTTACCAGACAAGATTTCCTAAGAACAAAAAAAAAAATTTATAACAATAAATTGGTATAAAAGGTCTGGTGCTCATTACTCTTAGGTTACTAAATTTTGTTTTATCTCAGAAACTCCAGAGACTTTTTAAAAATTTTTTAATAATATTGTTAACAAAATCCAATATTCTATTTTTTTTTTCTTTTGCAAATGTCATATCTTATTAACTCTCCCAATGATTAAGATTAATTGCTTGCAAATGTCATATCTTATTAACTCTACCAATGATTAAAATTAATTGCTTGCAAATGTCATATCTTATTAACTCTCTCAATGATTAAGATTAATTGCTTGCAAATGCCATATCTTATTAACTCTACCAATGATTAAAATTAATTGCTTGCAAATGTCATATCTTATTAACTCTACCAATGATTAAGATTAATTGCTTGCAAAGAACTTTCAATTATTCTCCTGATTATTATAAGCATACTAACATCGCTGAAAAGCAGAGATTTTTTTTTGTTTAGTCACTCCTATTTCTATGGATATAGTTATTTCTAACTTTACTCTACTCCTTGTGGTCTAAATAGTGGAAGATGTATTCTATAAGTGCTTGTATGAATCTTGTTTTCCTGCCTGCTAGAAAATAACTTCTATCATTCCTATTTTCAAAAACCTAATAAGTCTTACTATTATTTACAAGGTTGTAGAGTCTTTAATCAAAGCTCACTTGATATCTTGATCCTATAAATTCTTTTCTGAGAAGTAGTATGGTTCTACTATTGATTTGTTAACAGTAATAACCAAACAGTTTTATTGTGTGTTAGATAAAATCAGTGATGTAAAAATCATTGCTCCTATCTGAGTCTTTTGACCAAAATTTGAAAAATTTTTGATCTCATTCTGCTCTTGATTAATATCTGATTTTTAGGCAACATTTTTATCCAAAGCATCATTTGCAAAGTCAATCCTTAAACCCTTTTCATTAAAATGCTGCTTTAAATTCTCTACTTTGTTAAAAAAAATGAAAATAACAGAAGCATCCTTAGCATTTATTACATATATACCATAACATTGAGCATATAAATCATAGCATTGAGTTTTTTAAATTTAATTATGTTAATAAAATGATTATAGAATCATTTCTTTTTATAACGTTTATAAAAATGTATATGAATGTATATGAATGAAAATGTAAAGAGGATGGGGGGAGGTCTTTTTAAAATAATCTAACAAATTTAAAACCAATATAGAATTTCTTATTTTAAATTTACTTATTAAAAATTAGAAATATTATTCTAAAATTTTTTTAATTTATCTACATATTTCAAATAAGTTGCTACTCTATAGAAAACATGATTTTTATTTATTTTTATTTTATATTTTTTGGTTTTAAAATCTATATTAAAAAAAATGAAAATTAAAAAAAAATTTAGATTTGTATATGAAGAAAAATTGAAACAAGATTTAAGTTAGTTATATTTCAACTATATCTGTTTAATTAGTTACATTAAATCAACTGATTTAATGTAACTAACGAATAAACCAAAGTTTTGTTAATTAGCTAGTCTACTTTGTAAAGTGTGTCAAATAGTGCTTTGTTATTTACAGACAGAAAATTTCCAAAAATGAAGTACAAAGGGACTCCTCAACCTTCTATTCTCCGCTCTACAGAATTGAAGCAGGTAAATTAGTTTGTTTTACACTGGTAACAACAGTTTTCATAATGTTTTATTTTAACATAATTTTATAGGGGGAAAATAAGGAAACTTCAGGTTTTAACTATCCAGCAAGAAATATAGAAAAGAAAAACTCACAAAAAGTTAAAAAAGATTCTGAAATAAAGTTAAACGAAAACCATTCTACGAGTACCAAGTTACCCATCACCCCTAAATTTAATATAATTCACAGAGGTTTCTTTGATATGCAAGACTTCACAAACACAATGCAAGTTAATTAGTTTATATTCAAACATATTGCATTTAATTTTTTGTGTTTAATTAGAACCTTAGTATTGTCAAATTAAGCTTTCTAATTAATGTTTCATTATTTATTTAGTGTTAGTAAAAGTAGAGATCCAAAAGAATTGGTTGTGGAAATATATCTTCCATTAGCAGTACTATTTTTATTGTCTATATTAAAAGGTGTTTTGTATTCAAATATATTTAACAGTTATAATATATTCAATATTACAATGTGCATTGTTGTTTACAGGAAGCAGCGTCTGGTATTGATTTAGATATTTTCGAGAAACAGCTTGTTTTAAACTCAAACAATCCATCATATCACTTAGATGTATCTTTCATATTGATTTTATTTTTTGTCATCACATTTTTACTTTTTGTTTTAAAAAGGATCAAACAAACATCTTTCAGTTTAGTTTCATAAAAGTATACATTAAGTATTGATATAAGGATATTGAATTATTAAAATTTTTACATACTTGTACAAGCTAAATATGTTAAATATTTAGCCCTTCGAATTAGAAAAAAATAAGGTTAAAAATAAATTACCAACCTTAAACTATATTTGGTTGGCATCAGGTCAGCACTAAATTTTTAACAAATTTTCAACAGAGTTAACAACATAAAAAGGAGGTTAACAAAAAACGGCAGACAAACTTTAAAATCAGTAGTTAAGTTGGCATCATTGATTCTTATTCTGAGGACTGAAAAGATATAGAAGCTTTGTTGAATTTCAAAATATTTGTATTTTAATTTAAAAGTATTCTGTTTTGTATAAAAAAAATATCTCAAAGCCTCAAAACATGCATGCTTTGAATAGAGTTTAACCAAATCATTTATGTGCTGAAAAAATCATGTGGGATAACATGACTATTTGTATTTTTGGTACCTCATAGTAGTCATCTTATCTCAAACCTTAAGGATGAAAATAAATACCAGAGCCATATTTTTTATATTAAATTAAATGCGAGATAAGATAAAAAAAAGCACTTGATTGTCTGTGCACGCATACACATGATTGAAGTCTAAAAGATCCTTAACTTTTAGATTAAACTTCCTTACAAAATAAATGAAAATTTAGGTTGTGCTCAGTTTGACAAAGGCAAACGCATCCTTATTGTTACATTGCCAGTCATCTCTGAGCCAAATATTAATATTGATACAAAAAGTTCACTTGTTACTCTTGCAGATGAAAATCACACTGACCAAAATGAAGTAATTAAAAACGACCCAGAATGTTTTATTGAGTATAATGAAACAAGAAAACATGATGAAGAGCATGGTGAAAAGAACACTCAAGTAGCAAATCTAACACCCATGAATGAACACTCTGAAAACCTTAAATTTGATTCATCAGTAATAGACTGTAAGAATATATTTTTTTAACTGTTCATACTTCAAAGTTCTGTTTTTTTAATTTCGTTTTAAAACTGTTTGTGTTCATACATTTTAAAATAAGTAATTCTTTTTAATCAGTAGTTATGCGCACCTAATAAATAAGAGTTACTTTTGGTCAAAATAAACATGGTTTTTAACTCTTTTTATAATTTCTGGTTTTGATTTTCTTTTTTAATACAAGATTGAAACTGACAAATAAAATTAAAATAAAGTTACTGGTAATTTTTAGTTGTTACATTCTTTTAAATTAATGACTAATGAATCAATACTAATAATTAATGATCTCTGCCTCCTAAAACCCACCTGATCTTCCTAAAACCCATCTTATCCTCCTAAAACCCACCTGATGTTAGTAAAACCCATCTCATCCTCTTAAAACCCATCTGATCTTCCTAAAACCCATCTCATCCTCCTTAAAATCCACCTGATCTTCCTAAAACCCACCTGATCTTCCTAAAACCCACCTGATTTTCCTAAAACCTACCTGATCTTCCTAAAACCCATTTCATCCTCCTAAAACCCACCTGATCTTCCTAAAACCCATCTCATCCTCCTAAAACCCACTACATCTTATAGAACTAAATCTTGTGTTGCCTCTAGTGTGTCAGAAAAAAGCTTGTTGCAAATTTTTTATAAAGTTTCTTTTAAAGTTTTGTTTTGTTTAAAAAATATTCTTAAAAAAATTAATAATTTTATGTTATTAGATTTGCCAGGAACTTCTCAATTGCCCCCATTTTCATGCCATCAAACTTTAGAAGAAGTTTTAATATTAATTACTATACAAGATATTAAAGTTGAAGATCTTTCAATTGGTTTTACTGAACATCAGGTATTAAGTTTTTTATTTGTTAGTTTTTGTGTTTTTTTTGTTAGAAAAATAACTTTAGTCTGTAACTGTGTCTTCCTGAGAAATTTAAGTTATTATTTTTTTTAAACATTTGTTTTGTCTGAAAGTAAGGTTTTGATTGCATTCTCAAAATTATATATTACAAATAGTAGGATAAGGCTAGATTACAGATATTTAGTAAAGTAAGCCAAGATTACAGACTTTAAGTAAGATAAGGCAATATTACAGATGTTCAAGTAATACAAACCAAAATCACAAACCTTTTAATTACTACTATTAATGATAAGTAATTTTTAGTTAATCCTAAAATCTGTTTTGAAGATCTTGCTACTTTGATAATTCAAGGAATAATTCTATTTCATTATTGTAAGAAGATTATAAAGTATAAAATGAGTGTTCATACTATTGATACTATTATCTAAAATCTCTTGATGAAAAAGAAGGTTAAATTGGCGCTTAGAAAATGGTCCATAGAAAATGGTGCATAGAAATTGGTGCATAGAAAACAGGAAAAAAGTTTGAAGTCATGAAAGTTATTTTGAAAAATCAAAAACTAGCTTAACTTTGTAACTAGCTAAAAAACACTGTAATAACCTTGCTTTATAAAAAATTTAATTCATAGTTTGACTTATGACTGATATACATGACCTGTGGTTTTTTTTTACTTTTATTGATATATAGGATTTCTCTGTCATTTTATAGGTTTGTGTGAGTTTTTCTCAAAATTCAGATGAAAAAACCTCATTAGAATGGAGTATGGTTATTCGATCTGAAGACATTGATTTTTTTGATAAAACTGATTGTGGGTTTGATATTTCCTTAGTAGGATTAGAATTACATTTACGCAAATCAGTTAGATCTATTAGATTGTGGAATAAAATCTTCATAGGAGCATCAGAAACTGAATTGAAGGTTAGCATTTTTCTATAGTAAGTTTTCTATAGTTTATTTATTTTATTTATCAACTAAAAACTGTAAGAACTTGATTTAGATGGAAACTTTCTTAACTAAAAGTAATTCTGACTCACCTGCTCACAAGGAAGCTGTAAGTATTTTACATTAGAGCAGTGGTTCCTAATTGTTAAAACAGTTGTGCATATAATATCTTCTTTTTTCCAAATAATGGCCACTTTGGCCATTATTTCAAAAAAGTATCAAAAATAGGTGAATATGACAGGATGGTATCTTGCTTATATATGGCAGGATGCTTATATATGACAGGATGGTATCTTGCTTATATATGACAGGATGGTAACTTGCTTATATATGACAGGATGGTATCTTATTTATATACGACAGGATGGTATCTTGCTATTTGCTTTGATAACTATTAAAAATTACTTTTGTTTTTCAAAAACTGTTGATTTAAGATTTTATTAAATTTTTATGTTTCATGTAATAAGCATAATGGTATAAACTCTAAGAAACTATGTGAAAACAATAGTTCTGAACAGTGTGAAAATGATAATGCAAAATGCTTGGAAAATGTTACATTGGAGCGTTTGGAAAATCAGTTAGAGAAGTTATTAATTCTCCAAGATACTATTGGTTTTGATGATAATGTTGATAATTTCAATGATCAAGATGAGGTATGAAATACATTCAGTTTTTGTTTTGTGTTTTTTACCATGAATGTTGTATAAAATAAATTGTTACTTACCTTAAAACATTTTCTTGCGATTTCCTAGGTTTAACAACAAACTCATAATATTTAAGTTTTTTTATGTTTACAGTTTTAATCACACAACTGATTTGAGAGAATATTTCAAAACAATATTGAATAATATTGATAAAAATTAAATTTAATAATATTGAATAATATTGATAAAAAATGCTAGCGCCCCTTAGTTTGGTTCTATATGGTAAAAAACACTGGTTTGAAAATTTTTTTTTTAATTAATAAATATGTTGCATTCAATAGCAAAAAACAAAATCAAGTTTATTAACTGGAAAAAAAGAGTGTATTTTGATCAATTTTTTTGTTATTTTTTTTTTTAATTAGTTTTTTATAATATAATTATCATTTTTGTTCATATGATTTCGCTTCATTTGAGACCCAATATCATACACTTTTAAAGAATTTTTTCTCATTAATTTTAAGAACTTGTTATTTATATATATATATATATATATATATATATATATATATATATATATATATATATGTATATATATATATGTATATAATGGCAATTCCACCTAGAAAAAATTTTTGAAAATTAGTATAGATGTGGAAGATTTTATATGTGAAACCAACACATTTTTATTAAAAATAGTTAAAAAAACTGATTCGGGATTCAACATTTAAAAACTGAAATTGGGAATGATTGTGCAAACAAATATACTTCACACTTGAATATAGCGTGTTCCAAAAATTGGCTAAAATGTAAAGAATTAATATAAATATTAAAATTTAATTAATATAAATATAAAAAATATATAATATTTGTTTTTGGATGTCACCCATAAAATATAGGTTTGATAGGTGCTAAAAGAGACTAACTCTCAGATCAATGCATGGAAAAAAAGTGTAAACTTTACAGAGCATTGATCTAATAAAAACAAAACATTAGTATAAGAGTTTTTTAATTATCAATCAATTTATTATTTACTTAGGATAAAATAATTGGTTTTATTAACATTTCTGTGATTTTCTTTTTTATTCTGATCTTTAGAAAGAATAAAGTTAATAAATGACTTTTTTTGAGACCATAAACTAGCTTAGATACTTTGGTTAACAGACTTTACAGCATGTTCAATTGATTGAGAGTTTTTTGTAAGATATGCAAGTGGCTACATCTCCAGATTCTTTTGTGTTCATCAGATCAACAGATGAAAAACTAATTATAGAGGCTCTACTTCAATTTGACATACTTGCACTAGGTCATTCCAACATTTACAATCTTCATAATTGATTTAGGTTTAATCTTAATGACAAATTTTTTTAATTTCTTTTCTTTGTCTATTAAACACAGTTTATTGCTAAACCTTGTGTTTTTGTAGATAATGCAAATTAAATTTTTTTTTATTGAAAAACAAAGTTGCTATTATTATGATGGTTTGTTTATGATGTTTCAGATACAGTCTGCCCCCACCCGCATCCATCACCACCCGCAGATCATTTCGGGTATCTTGGTATACTTTGTGCTAATTTTAACTCTACATAAAATTTTTTACAAACCAAATAAATATTTTTACTTAAAGGGTGTTCTAATGTTCTAAAATCTCCTTTTTCTAGATTTTTATATTTTTAATTTGCTAGTTATTTTTTAAGAAAACAAAGTACAAGTAAGGCTTAAAAGTTACACTTGCATTTAGGGTAACTTTGAATACTATTATACTGAATGTCAATTTTAATCTTGTTTTAATTTTACTTCCAATTACATGCTCAAAGTATTTTGGGATCGAATGCGGACAAACAAACAAACGATGGCCAAAAAAAAAAGAAGGATTGCTGTCGACTGGAGCCACTAATTGGAGAGCCATTCTGATTGTTACTCTTGCGTTTAGGGAGTATTCAATACATTGAATCTTTGAATACTATTAAACTGTTGAATACATCTATTAAGAATATTTTGACAATAAACATATTCAATAAAATAATAAACATATTCAATAAAATAATGCAAATCACTCAATAAACTTGTGGATCAAATTTTAAGGTTATCAA